TCCCTGTATTCTCTTGGGTTTAAAAAATAGTGGGGGGTTTTGCACATGCACAGCGGTCTTGTGCCCCTAACCCCAGAGAATGTGGAGGGCCCACTGTAAGTGTAACATTACTTTTGCAAATCGCGTGTTACTCTGGTCTTCTTAGGGCTCCCACACCTCAGTCCTGGACCTAAATCTATCACCTTTTTCACCAGTCCTTAGAGCAAAGGGGAGGAATCTCAGGATGAAAACATAACCTTGAAAATCACATAGCTATCTATCCGCACTTTTGCAAATTCCATACTCTCCAACATTTTGTTGATAAAAACTGAGACATGTGTAGTCAAGCCACATCAGAGGGTGATCAATAGATGGCATAAGTTATTAATGAGGGAGAACAGACAAGCTAGGAGAGACTGCGGGAGGTTGCTTTTGCCTCAGTCTACTGGGAAGGGCAAGGTTGTACCACAACCACTCCTGCTGAGTAGAGGAGTGCAAACTATGGGCAGATGCAGATGTCCCATAAGGGGCAGCTCTGTGCTGCCCCTGGGAGCACCAGATCAGGGCCGCTCCAACCACATGCCACGGCCCCAGTCCTAATTTTTGCCGCACAAAAAAGAGTGGGCAAATGACGCTCCTTTTTGAGGCATCAAAAAGCTGCCCTGAGAGCCGTGGCAGTGGCTCTTTTGCACCCCTCTGGAGCAACATGTGTGCATGTTGCTCCAAAAAGGCACCCTGATGCTGCACGCCGTGCGGTCAGGCTTGCGGCATCAGGGCGGCATCGGGGAAATCGGCGTGCAGCCGCCCCACTCCAACTCCACCCCAGGCCAGCCCTTTCGGACAGTCTGCATCAGCCCTATGTTGAGGATTTAAGTCTTCATAAGTGGACTTGCATATGTGGACAGTAGAATTGTGCAGTTGTATAATGGCCATATGCAGTACAGGACTGCTGTTACATTGTTATGTAGCAAAACAAGCCAAATGCCCAATGCGCGTTGGTCATAGTGCACATTGGGCACCAATGCATTTCAGACATTCTTGCTGGTGTCCCATTATGCAGCTTTGCAATTTGCAATAGGGTTTCTTGGTGCCTCTGCTACATAGCTAGGTATATGTAAAGCTACATAACATAATAGCTCATATAGGATTCTGGTGTACTTTTAGTCATTGAACTCAATTTGCAGTAATTGAAGTAAGCTGAGGACAAAGGGAGGGAGGAGAGAGAAACTGGGACATTTTAAAAAGTAGCTAAAAAGTGGGACAACAGAAGATTAATCAGGACCATCCCTTATGAAACAGGACAGTTGGAGGGTATGACATAGTCCTATCCATGGTGACCAGATGTCCTCCTTTTCCAGGACATGTCCTACACTTCTGCCTTCTGTCCAGGAGGAATTCCAAAAGATCCTCCCTTTTGAGCATGACAAAGAAGCATGAATTTACATTTATATTAGTGTTTTTAGCTTTTCTTTTGTAATGTCCTCTGTTTTTCTTGAATGTCCTACATTTTATGGTGCCTTGTCCTCCTGTGCACTTAGGACCTCTGATCATCCTGAGTCCTATCCAGCTGGACAAACCAGTATAATCTTATGTGAGTTAGTAATTTCTGTGGATTTTTACTCAAGCTGTCAGCTTATAAATGTGCAATGAATGCAAACTATGTTGAGAAAAAAAATGAAAGGTTGAGAGGAGGGAGACTAGGTAAACTAATTCATGTCTCATCTGAAGTAAGTCCCATTGATTTCAGGCCCATCCTGAAGTATTAATGCTTCCATCTATTTAAAAATCATAACAATAAACAAAAAAAATTAATTTTAAAAGCACAGATTTCTTCGAATTTAAGGGTCCGCATCATTTGGAGACATGCATGATTCCATAAGGAAGTTTCCACCTAATGCAATACAAGAATGTTGAGAGAAACGGGGACATTTTTAGTGATGTGTGTGTAAGTTACTTTTATGTTAATTAAAAAAAATTAAATGCAACTGCAAAAAAAGTTTCCAGGAGCTTCCATTTTAAAGGAAAAGATTTTCAATAGCAAGCACTTTTGTTTTTATTTCTCACATTTTTGGCAGAGATGTTTTTAATTCTATAGATTTGTTTTTTAACACTACAGATGGTTTCATTATATTTTAATTCTATAACTAACTTTTATTCCCATAGACAATATAATTATATTTAAACAATAACGGGGGGGGGGTGTTTTAATGTATGTGTGTTCTTATTTGTATCTGTTTATAATTTCTCTATGCTTCCGTGAGGTTCCAGTTCTAGAGAAAAGCAAGACATAAATAAACAAACAAAATAAATAGTAGCAATGTTAATAATTATTATCATATTCACTTTCCTAGGTTTGGGCTTGAATATGTTTTGTTTTGAAGATATGAACAATCTTAAACCACTGAATTTGGGACTTGCAATATGCTACAAGAGATGCTTTTGTATCTCTCTCACACAGACACACACAAACACACACACAAATATAACCTGTTGCTGGGACCATTTTTAAATTTCATTGTTTTATTAATTTGATGATCAGTTGTGAGTGTGTTTTAATTTCTGTTGTTGTTATAAGCTACTCAGAGACGTATTTAACTACAGTCCGTTCTGGACCACCACCACCACCCTGCAAATTAGGAAAATCGCCAATATTGGAGCCCCATTGACTCCAATGGGGATGCACCCCTGCGTGTGGCATGGCACATGCACCTTGGGCGCATACACCATTTTGTCCCTCACAGCTTTCCATCCGCGAAGGAGCGAGGGGTACAAATGGTAAGACCGCAAATGGCAAGGAACGAGCGTATTATTAAATAAAAAATAAACGGAAATAATAGAATACCTCACTTAGAATATGGAATCATAGAATCTTAGCGATGGAAGGGACTACAAGGGCCACCAATTAAACCCCTCTCCCATGCAGAAATACACAATTAAAGCATCCTTGAAAGATGGCCATCCAACCACTGTTTAAGGATCTTCAAAGATGAAGAGCCCAACACCCTCCAAGTCAATCTGTTCCACCATCAAACAGTTCTTCCAGTAAAAAAAAGTTCTTCCTAATGCTTAGAGGGAATCTCTTTTCATATCATTTGAATCCATTGGTTCATATTCTAGTCTCTGGAGCAGCCGAAAACAAGCTTGCACCATCTTCTAATGACATCCCTTTACATATTTTGATGGCTAACATGTCAGACCTCAGTCTCCATGCCTTCATGACTTCCTCAGCATGACTTCTTCCATGTCTGCTTTCAGCACTGAGAAGTGTCTAAATTTCAACACATTTTTTTTCTGTATCTTTTGCAAGCACATCTGCGTGATTTCTATCATATTAATCTCAGCGCATTTCCCTTCTTTTTCATTGCCCTCCTTGTTCTCAGGGGCACCAAACATCATCAAAAACATAAATGTTCAACAGGGTGAGTAATTTTTTGATCATTTCTTCGGCAGCATCAGATGTGTTACTTTTGAAGTGAATATTGGCATTAAAGAGCATTTGATGTCACACCACTTAAAACATCTTAGGGTGAAAAGACAGACATGACATTCTAAGAGCACTGGAAATGGTTTGATGGTTCCTCTGCTGCTCTGCAAGCAAAGGTAGAGTTTCCTTTCCCAGGATGAACATTGGAAAAATAACAACTCTACAGTGCTATTGAGTGACAGAGCTTCAGTGAAGTAAATTTAGCTGTGGAAGGTACCTATTGGCTACCTCTCATTACACCATGGACATGACCCTTGCCCATAGATTGTCCTTAAGAAATCTATGGA